ACCCTAAACCCTAAACGCTAAACCCTAATTAAACCCTAAACCCTACATCGGGGCACGTAAACAAACAAAAGGAAGAAGGGCCTACTCTGGGCGCTAGCGTCCATGTCGGGGGCCGCGCCCGCTTTCAGCAGCAACGAGGCCACCCGGGCGTGGCCGTGCGCAGCCGCGTGCGCGACCAGCTCCTGCGCAACTGAGGCCTCGGAGACATGATTGCTATGTTTATTTCTATCTTACTATACTATTATATTTATGATTATATTATTTTTTAGTATACTACTATACTATTCTATTTGTGATTGCATTTTTGTAGTTTGTTGAATGGTTACACATTGTGATTTTTTGTGTTCCTATATTCCCCCCAAAAGTATATAACTATGTTACATTGTGTACTGTCGAATTATGAACGGAGACCTCGGAGACGTGGGAGGCACCGGCGATGGACAGCACCAGCTGCAGGTCCGCGTGCGCGTCCAGCGCCGCCGCCTCCTCCAAGAGGGCGCCGCCGCGCGACACCTGCTGAAGGCACACCTTCGAGGGTTTAGGGTTTAGGGTTAGGGTTTAGGGTTTAGGGTTTAGGTTTTAGGGTTTAGGGTTTAGGGTTTAGGGTTTAGGGTTTAGGGTTTAGGGTTTAGGGTTTAGGGTTTAGAGTTTAGGCTTCGGCGCATCAAACGGAGAAGCCCGACAGGCCCTCAAAAGCCACGAAAACCCTCAAAAGTCCGAAAAGCCCCAAAAGCCCCAAAAGCCCCCCAAGCCCCTATGAAACCCTACAGCCCTGAAACCCAAAAAACCCTATAAAAGCCTAACACCCTACAACCCCTAAAATCTAAAACCCTTCTAAAGAAAAAGGCTGGAGGGCCCTACAAACCCTTTAAAAAAACCCTAAAACCCCAGCCCTTCTTATTCAAAAAAAGACAAGGCTGCCGGCTGAGTCGGAGGTGCGGGAAGCCCGTGGAGTTCGCGCAGCAGCTTCTTCAAGCTTCCCACGTCGCCGCACTCCGCCACCTCCTGCTTGGAAGGTGGGTTTAGGGTTTAGGGCGTAGGGTTTAGGGTTGGGGTTCAGGGTGTAGGGTTTAGGGTTTAGAGCGTAGGGTTTAGGGTTGGGGTTCAGGGTGTAGGGTTTAGGGTTTAGGATTTAGGGCTTCGGGTTGGTTCTAGGCACTGTTTAGGAATTTTTGCTTTAAGGTTTAGGGCTTCGGGTTTAGGGTTTAGGGTTTAGGGATTTGGGGTTTAGAGGTGAGGGTTTGGGGCTAAGGGTTTTAGGGTTTGAGTGCACCATGCTCCTTCACAGAAGCCCTCCTAAAATCCCCGGAACCCACCTTACTCACCCTACTTACTAACCCTAAACCCGAAACCCTAATCCCCAAACCCTGGAAGAACTTGGGAGCTTTGGGGCTGAGCTGCGAAGTTCTGCTGCATTGAGGGTTTAGGGCTTAGGGCTTAGGGTTTAGGGTTTAGGGTTTGGGGTTTAGGGTTTAGGGTTCAGGGTTTTGGGTTGAGAGTTGAGGGTTTAGGGTATTCAGGGTATCAAAGTCCTCTTTGGAGAGAGCGCAAAGCTCCTCCCCAGAGGCCATCCACACGCGCAGCATCCCACAAAGGGCTCGGCGATGAAGCAAGCATCCGTGGGCTTGTAGGTAAACTCTAAGAAGTATTATTCAACATACCCCTTAACAATACCCTTTAAAGAAAAAGGGGTATGGTAAAATCCTTCCTTATATTCTCCTTTTAGAGGTTAAGGGATATGGGTTTGGGGTATGTTGAAGTTTTCTTAAATACACCCTCTGTGAGCAAAGCATTTATCCCTAAGCCCCAAACCTACACCCTAAACCCTAGACCCTAAGCCCTAAGCCCTAAACCCTAAACCCTAAACCCTTCCAGCTGTGCGCACACATGTTGCTATGTCTCTGTACTGCAGCTGAAGGCCGACGCCAGAAGCGATGTAGGGATCGGGGGTTCGGGTTTAGGGTTTAGGGTTCAGGGTTTAGGGTTTAGGGTTTAGGGTTTAGGGTTTAGGGTTTAGGCTTTAGGCTTTAGGCTTTAGGCTTTAGGCTTTAGGCTTTAGGCTTTAGGCTTTAGGCTTTAGTTTAGCTTTAGTTTAGGGGTTTAGGTTTTAGGGTTTAGGTTAGGGTTTAGGGTTTAGGGTTTAGGGTTTAGGGTTTAGGGTTTAGGTTGAGGGTTTAGGGTTTAGGGTTCAGGGTTCAGGGTTTAGGGTTTAGGGTTTAGGGTTTAGGGTTTAGTAATTTAGGGTTTAGGGTTTAGTAATTTAGGGTTTAGGGTTTAGGGTTTAGGGTTTAGGGTTTAGGGTTTAGGGTTTAGGGTTTAGGGTTAGGGTTTAGGGTTTAGGGTTTAGGTTTTAGGGTTTAGGGTTTAGGGTTTAGGGTTTGGGGTCCATGGGTTTAGGGTTTCAGGCTTTTGGGACGTCAGAAACTACAGGGTTTAGGCTTTAGGCTTTTGTGTTCTCCAGGCTCTGCCACCTGCGCGTGGGTCACCCGCAACGACGAAATAGTCCGCTCGCGCGCGGCAACCTCGCAATGGCACAAGCAGGGGCTTATGAAATTACGGTTTAGGGTTTAGGGTTTAGGATTTAGGGTTTGGGGTTTGGGTTTGGGGTTTAGGGGTTTTAGGGGCCCTTTTTGATGATCCTCAGGGTTGCATAGCGGCCATATTAGGAGTAGATTGGGGGTAAAAGCTTAGTGGTACGAGTCTTAATCCCTTGATTACTAAGATCAGGGGTTTAGAGCTGCCTGCTTGAACGAGAGCTACGCACTAAACTCCCTCCAAATTGCTGCGGGGTATCCTGAGATCCTACAAGCCAGCAAGGCTTGTTTCTGTGCTCTTTGATTCGGGTTAGCTAAACCTAGCCCGACCGTAAACCCAAACCCGAAAACCCTCAGCCTTTCAACTTTCACCCCAAACCCTAAACCCTGCACCCAAAACCCTAACTAAAGGGGTAGTAGAGGATCTCATGCTGAAGCCCCTGCCAACCCGACATTCTGCTGTTTGGGGGCTGGGTGGGGGGGGGGGCGTGTTCAGGGCTACCTTCGAAGCCCTCAGAGCCTTAGACAAACTTCATGGCCTAAGCCCTAGGCTTTAAGCTTCCAAATCGTGAACCCCAACCTCCAAAAAGCCCTTAAAGCCCTAAACCCAAAGCCGCAAAAAACAAAAGGCCGAAACCCATCTGTTAAAAAAGCCTCCTTCAAAAAGCGCCAAAAACACCCTGAGCCCTCAACTCTACACGAAAACCCAAAAACTCTTAAACCCTGAAATTTCAACCCTTAACCCTCTCATCTCTAAACCCTGAACCCCAAACCCTCTCATCCCTAAATCCCAAACCCTCTCATCCCTCAACCCTAAATGCTAAACCCTGAACCCTAAACTCTAAACCCTAAAGCACCATGAGCAAAGCCGCCCTCGAAACCGTCGGTGAGTCCACCACCAGATCTCCGGAACCCCGAATCGGGATCCATGTGTCCTCCCACCACCAGTCTGGCTTTCGGACGCCACTCTGCGGTGGGGTCCACTCTTCGACGTCCCAGGGCCTTGTCCCTGTACGCGCAGCGACTGCTCAGAATCCTCTCGGGGGGAACGGTGGCCTCGATCTTTAAGGACTCTTCAATTCAGAGAACCTCGATGGCTGCATGCGTCAAGTGCTCTCCCCATTGCTTCGCCTCCGCCGCCCTGAAAGCTGGCCGCATCTCTGCTGGTACAGCACTCCAAGGGAGTTCCTTCTCCATTTGTTGCTCCTTGGACCTCTGCGTCTTGGCTTTCCGAAGCATGCCTAAACCCTGAACCCTAAACCCTAAAACCTAAACCCTAAACCCTAAACCCAGGCCTCGTGCTGTCCTCGGAACTCGAGCTCTGCGATCTGCCGCTCCTGTGGGAAGCTTTTCAGTAAGGGTTGAGGGTTGAGGGTTGAGGGTTGAGGGCTGAGGGTTTAGGGTTTAGGGCTTAGAGGCTTTAGGGTTGAAACGCTTAGGTTTCCAAGCTCAGGGTATGCTGTTTAGGGTGGGGGGTTTCGTTGTCAGAGCATCTATCCGAACCGCGGTCTTGACCTCGAAGTTTCCACTCACTACCGAGCTGTCAACGGCGAGTTGAACTCTGGCTCACAATGTCAGTTGCTTCGTTCACGGTAGTTCTTAATCGTGTCCACCCATTTCGGTGGGGAATGGGCACGTGGCCAGCGACAAGTAGCTCCTGGCTAAACCCTCAACCCTAAACCCCAAACCCTAAACCCTAAACCCTAAACCCTAAACCCTAAACCCTAAACCCTAAACCCTAAACCCTAAACCCTAAACCCTAAACCCTAAACCCTAAACCCTAAACAGCTCCAGCTCCTGCAGCTCCAGCTCCTGCAGCGGCGCGAAGGTGACGTGTCCGAGAGCCGTGGCCTGGCGATGCCACGAGAGCAGCGGATTGATGAGGTTGAGGGGAATTGGGGTAATTAGGCGAATTAGGGTAGTTAGGGTGATTGGGGTAGTTAGGGTAATTAGGGTAAGTAGGGTAATTAGGGTAATTAGGGTAATTAGGTTAATTAGGGTAATTAGGGTGTAGGGTTTAAGGTTTAGGGTTTAAGGTTTAGGGTATTTAGGGTAATTGGGGTAGTTAGGGGAACTAGGGAAATTAAGGCAATTAGATTACGTAGTAGTTAGGGTAATTAGCGGAACTAGATGAAAATAGGGTAATAAGGGCAACTAGGGCTTGGGGTTTGAGGCTCAGTGTTTAGGCTTTTGGGCTTTAGGGTTTAGGGCCTCTAGGGTTTACGGTAGTCAGGGCGAACAGGGTTCAGCTGCTCAGGGCTAAACCACTGAATCAATGGCACACTGCTGGATATTCCCTACGAGTGTTTGTGCAAGGTGTCGTTCTTCTGAAATCGTTGGCCGCGCAAGGTCACTCTAGGCTTGGTCTGGCCTGCGGGCATCTTGCAATCTTCTCCAGAGTTAGCGAACTGAAGACACGATCACTACGTGCGAGCTCATCTTGGCACGAAAACTAGCCGTATGGGTTCAGGCACGGCAAGCTCCTTCAGCAAGAAGGGATCGTATGTCAGATCTGAGAAGAAAGAGCCGCTCCTGTGCACGTTTCACTGCGTGGTCTTCTCTCAGCGCCAGTAGCTGAGACTCCAGCTGAGCATGCTGCTGGCCTTCGGCTCTCCCCAACTTTTGCCGCAATCTTTCGATCTCCTGCGCCCTTGCCAGGCCAAGGGAGCTCAACCGTCGGTAGCGAGCTTGATTTCCAGACTCTGCTTGAAGGTTACGCCGGGCCTCGAGGAAGTTCTGTCTACAGATGCTCATGGCAATCCGCGCTGCATTGCGTTTTGTCCGCAAACCTGCAGCAACCAGGCTTGCAAGTACGTACTTGCAATCTGCAGTTCGAGTAATGTGCAGCCTATAATGCGACATCCTTCCATCTGTATATATTGAGCCATGCACGCCACGTGCTGCCAAGAAGGCCTTGATGGCTTGGAGGACTTGCGGATGCTTCTGCCAGATTTCCAAGCTCAAGTACGCAGGTCGCCTCGCCATAATACAGCCCTCGGCATCGAAGAATCCTGCCAGGTAGTTCCAGGAGGGGCATGAAGCTGGTGGGTGCTCTTCTCTCTTCAACCTCTTCAAATCGGCAAGGGCGCAAGTTTGCAACTGGAGGTGCCGCCGCCACTCGCTGGCAATGGCCAGTTGGGAATGCTTGCAGGAAGAGCTACCGAGCAAAAGAGCCGCTGCACGCCGAGCTTTTTCCCCACATATATACCATTGCAGGGTTGGTCTGCACAAACCCACGGTGGCGGTCTGTCTACCGACTCCACCGCCCAATACATTTCTGATGAACAGCAGCACGTTGCTGGAAGACTGCGTTTGACGGACGGTGAGCATGGGACGACCACCGCTCGCTTGGACACAGCCATCACCGTCAAAGAAGCCAGCCAGATACTCACGGACTCGCACTGGCACATGCTTACATGGCTTGGCTTGCTTCGCACGCAACGGCAAGAAGTACCTTGCCCCGAAGGCCTCGAAATAGTTTGCGGCGGGCAGGCGAAGGCGGACCTGAAGGCGCCGGAGCTGGTCAAAGCGGCGCTGGAGCAGCTGCAGGGTCCGCCGTGTGCCAGCACGCATTGCTATGAGTAGATCCCCAAACGAGCGGGACCCCCGAATATGTCCCAAAGCACTGCAAAGCTTACTATAGGAACCCCTAAAAGGGCGACCCCGATTGTCAGAAACCCCCATTGAGCAATGGAGCCTCAACAGCTTCGTCTCCGTCTGTCTCTAACTTGAACCTTCGTGGGTGTTGAAGAAAGGGCTATAAGCAGAGGAACTGCAGCCAGAACCCTTTCTTCAGGTACATATATATATATGCATATATACATAACATTGCTTACAACTACCCGTGAAACTTCAGGTAAGCTCTCCCTAACACGGGTTCCCTTCACCATCTTGTCCAGGATAAGAGGCTTTCACTCGTGCCTGCTGTCTCACTAACCCACTGGCTTGCCATGAGGGCCATGCGACCCGTCATGGGCTGCCCCAAGCTATTTCAGCATCCTCCTACACCCTAAACCCTAACCCTAAACCAAAAACCTGATTACAAAAGGCCGAAACCCAAAACCTCCAACCCTCAACCCTCAACCCTAAACCCCAAACCCTGAACCCTAGACCCACCCAAAGCGAGCCCGGCGGGACCGCTGCCCGCCGCACCGAATCCGAGTCGTCGTCGAGGCCCACCAACAGTCCATTGAGGACGCGGCTGGCGGAGGGTTTTGGAGGGTTTCAGGCTTAGAGTTTAAGGGTTGAGGGCTTAAGGTTTAAGGGTGTAGGGCTTGGGCAGGGCTTTAGGCTTAGGGTTTAAGGGATGAAGGCTTGGGGTTAAGGGTGTTGGGCTTGGGGTTTACGGGTTTAGGTCTAGGGTTTAAGGGCTTAGACTTTAAAGGCCGAGAGTTTCAGGGGCTCAGGGCCTAGAATGTAAAGGGTTTTGAAACGCATTGTTCCTTCATCTACTTATGGACAGCATCCATGAAACTTCAAGTCGAAGGAGATGTATAGTTCGAGCACATGGGTTTCGGATGTAGGACTGTAGCATGGCAAAATGTGCTTGTTGGGAAGGCTGCCCAAAGCAAACCATAAAAAGCCCGCATCGACAACTGCAGTGCAGTTCGGACGTCAGGTCCAGGAGTCCAGGGTCCGAAAGTCAAAGGCCTTGTATATTCAAAAAGGCCAATGTGGCACAGCACAATCCTCCCTGAACCCCAACCCCTTAGGCCCTAAACCCCAAACAGCCTAACCCCTACACCAACAAAGCTCCCTCCCAACAAAAACAAAGGGAAAAAAAAGAACAAATATTACATTTTCATATAAATATATACATATATATATATATCCATGTTTTAGGAAACCATGTAACAACTCTTCGTAATCCTGTTAAAGCGCAAGGCGGAGGGCGCGCCTGTCGCCCCGCACGGCCAGGCGGCCGAGGGCTTCGGTCGAAGCCCAGCGGACCCGCTCCTGGCAAGTTCATGCATTGCTGTCATGTAACATCTTGGACTATGATTATATGCAGACACATGATGTAGATTCTATATCCTAGTATGTTACTTGTTTATATACGGTCACAAGCCACAATATACCACACGGCCAGCCTTGCAGAATTTGTGTGGGTTTGGGGTTGAGTGTTTAGGGAACCGTCCTCCAAGCACGGAAGCCCCAAAAACAAAACCCCTGAACTTGACACGACAACCTGGAGGCCCTGAGCCCTGAACCCGACACCCTAAACCCTTGACCCTAAACCCTAAACCCTAAACCCTAAACCCTAAACCCTAAACCCGAAACCCGAAACCCTAAACCCTAAACCCTAACCTAACCCCTCTGCTGCCGAAATGCATCTTTGTCGGCCAGCAGCTCCAACATGCGCTCGACCACCTTGAAATCAGAGGGCTTTGGACTGACGACTTCGGTGTTTCTGGCGATAAGGCTTTGGGCCCTAGGTGCTGAGGTTTGCAGATGGCCTCAGGCTTCCTTTTTCGGAGAGTTTGAGGTTGAGGATTTAGGGGTCCAGGCTTTAGGGGGCTTTTCGCAGGGCTCAGGGGTTTCAGAGGTGTCGGGCTCGAGCTCCTTGTCCCCATCCTCAGGCTCCTCCTCGTTCTTGCCCATTGCACGCCACCATTGGCTGAAGTCCTGCAAGAATTTCTCTGGCTCATGGTCAAGGCTCAGGTAGGACAGCGTGAGAGCCGCGTCCTGTCTGCAGCTCCCAAAACTCAGCTGCGTTCCCGGGTAAGCCCTACACTCGACATCCTGAGACCTGCTATAACACCCCCCCCCCCCCATGATCGACCCAACCCTGAACCCTAATGCCCAACAAGGCCCCAACTTAAAGCCCTATCGGACCCATCAGACCAGAGAAGCTGTGATGAACCCCGCACTAGGAGAGACTTCAACCCGAGCCCGGCCAAAATCCTTTAACAAGACCCACAGCCTCAGCCACCCCCAAAAAGCCCCTGATGAATAAAATCGCACACGCACACGCACGTCTGCCTCGCTGTTTCCCTCTTCAGAGAGCCGGCTGAGCACCTGAAACAAGGATTTCCGCTGTGAACTTTTTGGTTTGTTTTGTTGGCTCCGGGTTTAGGGCTTCAGCTATGCCTGTGGGGGTCTTCAGGGGTCTTCACAATTTCAGTTCTTCAGGTCTTCGGCCTTTGAGGCTCTGAGGGCTTGAGGGTTTATATAACAGAGGACCTTCGTATCTCGGGGGCCACGGCCATAGCGTTTAGGGTTTAGGGTTCAGGGTTTTTTTACGTGGGAATCCCATCTAGGGATGGCGGAGTGATCGGGATAGGTCAAGCCAGCTGGGCTGCGATGATGAAAGCCACTAGCAGGAGTGGCCCCTCAGAGGCAAGCACGCATTCCACATTCCACTCATCATCACTTGTGGGTCAGCATCGGCTTTGTCATCTCCCGAATGCTCATGGATCCCGGCTGAAAGGCCTTGTGCCCGAAACTGCCGTCCGTTCCATCACCGGCCGCACGCCAGTCACCATCCTCTGCGGCGCCAAGCTGGAGGGCCACCTGTACAGCCAGTGGACTGCCACACTCCCCGCGGTTATACCGCAGAAGAGCAGGATCAGCCGCTGCAACAACACCCGTCCGGTGCTGCGTCTGGCAGCCGAACTCGCAAGGTCATGAATGGATGGCACCCCCAAGCTGGCAATCGGCAGCTAAAGCCTACCTCCGCACATGCCCATCTTCAACCCTCAACCCCACAACCCGAAGCCCTAAACCCTAAACCCTAAACGCCAAAACCCCAAGCCCTAAGCCCTAAACCCCAAACCCTGAACACTAAAACCTAAGCTCTGAAAACAAAACCCCAAGCCTGAAGCCCAAAGCACACTAGCTGAACCTTTCAGGAGTAGTTCTGGGTAGGGTAGGATCGGGTTAGAAGGTATATCACTACAATCGCCATGGATCTAATCCGAAAAGTGAACACCACGAAGTCCTACATCCTAAACCTCAAGCCCTTAACTAAACCCACAACCCAAAATCCTAAATCCCTACATCCCTGAGCCCTAAACCCCAAGCCTAAACCCTTGAGCCACAAACCCTAAAACCCCTGAACCCAAGCCGTAAAACCCAAAAGCCGTCCTAAAACTCCTAAATCCAAGCCGTAAAGCCAGAAACCACATGCCCTAAAACCCTGAACCACAAGCCCTCAACCCCTAAACCCTAAGCCCTACAGCCCTAAGCCCAAGCCCTCAAACCCTAAAACCCAAGCCCTACAGCCCTAAGTCCTAAACCCGACAGCCCTACACCCTAAACCCTAAACCCTGAACCCTAAACCCTAAACCCTAAACCCCAACCTCAAACCCCACACCGCGCCGGCCTCCACCGCAGTGTGGCGCACGAAGCCCTCGACGTCGGCGGTGCGCGCAAACAGCCCGGGTAGGACCTTAGGGGCGCGAGGGGTTTGGGGCTGGAGGGTTTTAGGGGTTTTAGGGTCTTAAGGTTTTGGGTTTAGGGTTTAGAGTGTAGGGGTTGGGGTTTAGGGTTTAGGGTTTAGGGCTTAGGGCTTAGGGTTTAGGGTGTTTAGGGGTTTCGGGGGTTTGGGGTTTAGGGCTTTTAGGGTTTTTAAGGTTTGGGGAGTGGGGTTCAGGGTTCCTGAACTTCCTAAACACCCCAGAACCCTAGACCCTAAACCCTAAACCTGAAACCCTAAACCCTAAACCCAAAACCCTAGACCCTAAACCCTAAACCCGAAACCCTAGACCCTAAACCCTAAACCCTAGACCCTAGACTCTGGAATCCCGAAACCTGAAAAATCCCAAAGAACCCTTCTGCTGAGGCCAGAACCACGGGATCCTCCTTGTCCGCCACCTGCAGCAGAAGTCGTTCAGGGTTTAGGGTTTAGGGTTTAGGGTTTAGGGTTTAGGGCTTTTTTTTATGGCAGCCATGCGCATGCAAGTGCTTTGGCGTGTCTTTTGAACAAGTGGGGGCAGCGCGTCGGCGCAGATTCCAGGAAAGACAGGAAGAGGGGGTCCCTATTAAGGAGGTGTTTGAGGCCTAAGAAGTCTTGCCTTTGCTCCTCCGTGTTTATGCGGTTTAGCCTTATGTATTCTTTAAGCACCGGTAATGCATACTCAGTATTGAGTTCCAGCCAATATCTTTGGGGATGTCCTCTGTGTGAAGATTTTGTGAATTTGATCCTATCTTTACAACCCGGAGAGTAGACTACATGGTGCACCGGATCGTTGGGCGGTGTAGCCAAGGTATTTGCCAATTGCTTTAACTGGGCAGAGGTCAGAATTTGGGATGGCAGCGTGGGCCGGCCCGCTAGCGTCCATACCCGTCGATTCGAGATGTGTGAATAATATGAGTCCTTGACTCCTAGTGCTCTACGAAGATATCTGTGGTACCATGCATCTATGGTCTTTAGGTGCTTAATTTCCAGAGTAAGCGTATCCAATCCGTACAGTAAAGTAGGCAAGACTATGGCATGGAAGATTCTAGTTTTAGTTCTAGAATTGATGCGTGACCTCCAGAAATGTTGGAGTTTGATGTAGGAAATGTGCGCCTTGACTTTACGAGCTTCTATGGCGTGCTTAGTGGCCTTGTCCCATGTAACCTGGGAGCCTAAATATTTAGTGTCAGTGGTTATGGGAACCGGGGAGCCATCGGCAAAGTATAGGACCTGGGGGGCATCGGCGTTGTACTCCAGAGAGACTGTTTTTTCTTTGTTCAGAAGCATCCCGTATAGGGTGGCTTCTACCTCAATTGCCTTAAGTATGTCGTTCATTTGTGGCTTTGTAACCGAAATGAGAAGCGTGTCATCAGCGTATTCTAGATCGTATACTGGTTTCCCTACCGACCAGGAGTTAGTGGGGGTGCCATGTATACGGAGCCTGCGGTCTACATCAGAGAAAAGCACTGTCATAACCATGATAAATAAATACGGGCTTAGGGGGCAACCTTGCCTAATACCGGTGTGCGGTGTAGCCTTGGCGGTGTCCCCGAAGGGTCCTCTCGTATAGAATGTCTGGTTGGTGTAAAGATCTCTAATAATGTCGACATATTGGCGGTGTACTCCAAGGCGCTCCAAAGCTATGATCATAGAATCATGATCAACTTTGTCGAACGCCATTCTCCAATCGAGGAATAGCAGCTGAAAGGGAGAGCCTGTTTTCAGCGCTAGGTCTTGCAATCTGCGTAGGACGAACAGTGGTTGTTGCGTGGATCTATTAGCCCTAAAACCAAATTGCGTGCTCCGAAGCTGATGATCGTGCGCTTTAGCCAATCTTTTTTGAAGTAATGCCGCGTAGATCTTATAGAAAGTATTTAGCAAGGAAATTGGCCTATAATTAGCAGGGTCAGAATCCGAACCTTTGCCTTTATAAATACTAACGATAAGGGCCTCTTTCCACTCTTGGGGAACCGTGGCGCTACTGAAACATTCGTTGAACATTTCCAATAGCTGACTTTTCCCCTATGTAGTCCAGAAGCAGCACCAGCTCATTGTGAATGTTATCTGGACCAGGCGCTTTAGCCTTTCGTAATTGCTTGATAACGTCCGAAAGTTCCATCAGGGTGAAGGGTGGGGGCGGTGTAGCCGAGGGCGCGTATAAAGAGGGTGACTCCCGTAGTAATTCTCTTTCTTCTGCCGTGACCGTGGTGGGACCCCATTGTACATTGGCGAGGTGGTCTGCAAACGCCTCGTGCTGTTTATCCCAAGGTACCGGCCGACCGTCCTTTTTTAGCCTGGATTTTCGTTCTCTAAATCCCGTTTTCATTTTACGGAGGTTCCGCCAAAGCGCTTGCGACCCCTGATTATGGGACTGCAGGACCTGATCCCTTAGCCATTGGCGTTTTACTTTGCGGGCTTGCGTTTTGAGCCTTTTGTATTCCTGAGTGGCCTGAGGGTCTCCATGTAATCTGCGCTGTTTTACGGCTTCGATGTCCGCTGCAAGTGTTGGAGTAATCCAGCACGTCCTGGGTTTGACCGGCAGTTTAGCGAATGTGTTCTCCGCCGCCGTCAAAAGGGCCTGTGAGATGCGGTCCGGCGCGTTTTTGATGATGGGGAGGGGGGCTTGTGCGTCTGCCAAAGGGAGGTTAGTAGGGGTAAGGTAGAAGTGTTGTTCAGAACGGCCACCTATCCGTACACCATCTTGTTTTGCTTGTCCTGCAAGCGCATCCGCCATGTCATTGTATTCTTGTCCTGAGTGGCCTTTAACCCAGGTCCATTTGATTGTTGTTCTGGCCTTTAATAGGGAATAAATACGCTTGGCGGAGTATACCATGGCTTTGTGCCTAGTCGGGCGAAATGCTCCTGTAACCATGCCTTCCACCCACTTACTGTCAAAGCAGAATGTAACGGTGGAAGGGATAGGGTCCATCGACAGTAAATACAACGCTGCTTCCATCCATGCGGACAATTCTCCGGTATTGTTACTCCCAACCACCGCTCCTAGTGAAAAAGGCGAAGTACCCGTAATTACCGGTCCCCTGGCTTTGTGCGTGGGGACTCCGTTTATTACCGTAACGAAACCCCAACCGGCTGGCGTTGTACTGGTGCATTTACCTCTCGAGCCTGAACCATCGGTATAGACTTCTACTGGAAGCGAAGGTGTTGGCGGTGTAGCCTCGGTATCCTCTAGACATAGTGCGTTCCTAAATTCTTTGTTGAACTTCTCGCGCTGTTGTCTGTTGGCGTTGTACTCCAGGGGGGGGGTCTGGGTTGCCTCTGCCTACGTGCCCCTAGCCGGACGCTGAGCTCTGTAAGAAGTAGGTAATGATCGCTTGGAAAACCTGTATTGTGTACAGCTTTTACTTTTCGGATCGTGGGGAGCCACTTCCTAGGGGTAATCAGTCTGTCCAAGCTTTGAAAGCGGACAGGGTCTATGTGCGGTGTAGCCAGTTTATTGGGAGGGAGAGTATCTAAACCCAGGAACGCTCGAATCTCCGAAACCAGCGAAAGCTGATCCGACTCCGGCAAGGGGAGCGTGGCAAAACGGTCCCACATTTGTAGAAGAATTAGGGGGTCGAGAATGAACTGGTCCCAGTTGTCCGGAGGTGAGAATTTATCCCTGTAGGTGACATGCTTGGTCAGGTTGGACTGTTTAAAGGATAAAGCGTCTGCAAATCAAAGGGATTTTAACAAAGAAGTGTAGAATGTGCGGTTGGAGTGCGTTTTAGTGTTGGCAGCGAGTTTGCCCTTACCGTAGATATGAGGCCCTAAAAAATCCTGTTCAGCAGAAAACCTACCTTGTAACCTGACGTTGTAGTCTCCTACAACGTAAACCGGCTCAAGTTGTGGAATTGTTGTTAGGATGTCTTCCAACATGTTCCAGAATGGGGTCTTACGCTCCTCTTCCTGCGATTTGTCGTGTGGGGCATATACCCCGATAATATGAATGGAGCCTGATTTGGATGAGATGATAATTTGCAAGATACGAGAAGTGTGTTGAATGATGTTGCAAATATGAGGAACCATTTTTGGCGATATAACCGCTGTGACCCCTGACCATTTATCCTTGTTGTTACCATTAACCACAAAAAGGTAGCCCTGACTTTGAAATGAGTAGTATGACTTGGAGTGGGTTTCCGTTAACATCAGAACGTCGAGCTGATGGGTATGCATGAGAGCGAGGACCTCTTGATGCTTAAAGAGTTCAGCCATTCCCTGAACATTTTGTGTG